CAATGGGTACCGGGGTCCTTTCCCGGGGGTAAAGCCGGCCGGGGCGTGATGCTGACCACTCACCCCATCTAGTGCTGAGGTCAAGGAAGAGAGGAGCTATACCTCCACTCCCCCCAAGCGCCTGCATGGCGTGTAGTGGGACAAACTTTACTTTACTTACCCATTTTTTGTATATACATCATTTTGACAGTAAACTGCCATTGTATGTTGAGATGTATGGGGCTGTTTGGATGAGTTAGCCTTTTAGTCAAGACTGCTGTGTTATTTTAATGTATGCTTGCTTCATTTCATTTTATAAAATAAACATTTAGTTTCTACGCTTGCATTCACTTTGTGGGTAACTGTAACATTGTGCTTCCTGCAGACATGATGATGCTTCATCAACAGTTGTGGAACTTCACATGAAGAAACCAATCTGATAATGTATATTTTTTTATTAAATAGATACAGCAATATTTATTATTTAGTACTACTATTTCATGTTAGGCCTAGTTATAATTGTTATAACAAACTTCAATGTCTTTATGATAATTAGAAAAACTTATATTTTTATATTTCTCACTTTAAAATCTACAAAAAGCCAAAAACCCTTTAAATCCATTTAATCTTAATATCCTTAGTAGAGGCACCTTGAACTCCAATTCAAAAATGAATGGAGTACATCGTATGGTTGTTGTGAAAAAGAGGGTAAAAGAATTATTTGCTTGGAGGTAAAGCAGCCATCCATCTAGTAAAACGTTTGTCCCGCTACGTGCCGTAAAGGCGCTTGGGGTGAGTGGAGGTATAGCTCCTCTCTTTCTTGACCTCGGCACTAGATGTGGGTGAGTGGTCAGCATCACGCCCCGGCCGGCTTTACCCCCGGGAAAGGACCCCGGTACCCATTGTAGAGGAGGCTGGGTGGGCCCCAGAGCCGGCCTGGATGCAGAGGCTAGAGGAAAAATCCTCTGCCCCCGTCGGGGATCAAACCCCGGTCGTCCAGCCCATAGCTAATCACTATACTGACTGAGCTATCCCGGCTAGTATCAAGGTTAAAAATGCATGGACCTCTAATTGCATTCATCCATATTTCTGCATGACATGGTGTTTAGTTAAATGTCGTGGATAACTTCACATCTGCCTTTTATAACCTTACCTGATGATTTATGTGTGTGTGAAACATGGTCTGCCACCCTAAGGTAAGTACATGGATTGAGCATATTTGTGAACATGATACCAACAAGAATACTTTGATTAAATTAACAAGGAGTAGAAAATTGTATAATTTTAACATTCATAATTTGTATTTGTCACAAAATATCAGGTTCATCAGAGGAAGATGAGATGGGTGAGGCATGTAGCATACTTAGGAGGGAAGAGAAATACATAACACATTCATGTCTCAAATCCTGAAAGAATGAGACCACTTTTGAAAGGAAAACATTATAATGCACCTTAAGTAATAAGATATGAGGGTATGAACTAGATTTATCTGGCTTAATACAGGTTCTAGTGACAGACATTTATGAACATAGAAATAAACCTTTGGATTCTATAAAAGGCAATCAATTTCATGACTAGCTGAGAGGTTAGAAGCTTAACAAGGACTTTGCATCATGGAGTTACTGGCAGTTACATGTCAGAGTATCAATTAAATGTGTTTTATGACTAGCATTCAATTCTCTACCTCTGCATATTCGAAGAGGTGCCAATAAATTCTTGTCACTAACAAATACCATGTGCACATACATCAACATCCAGACATATATGGCACTGTGCCCAAAGGTTTCCACTCAATGTCAGGTGTCACTATTATAGAGTATGAACTTTGTCAAGACCAAGTGCAGCCCCTGGATTGTCAGCTGTCTAAAGCTCTATATTTATTTCTACTTCATTGCTTCAGCTTGTTTTTGTGTCCTCTCTTTATTTTGAAGGACCTTCTGTTTGGAGAAGAGGTGAAAAGCAACTCAAATAAGTATGCTGAATATGTATTTTTCATACATACTATCCATAGAATGTTGAAATAGGAATGCTGTGTAATTAACGAAGTAATGTGTGGATTCTTTAGGGTAAAAAGTGATTCAAGATGCTCACAAATATTGGTGATATGGCTGAAGAAATTAAACTCTCCAAGACAGATGACCAGCCTTGGGGATTTCGTGTTACCGGAGGACTGGACTTTGGGACACCTGTAACAGTGATAAAGGTACAGTCTTATCAGTATCATATAAAAATGAAAAATGACTTACTCATGTATATGATAATATGATATGTTGTTATAGTTACAACTTCGGTCTTGTAACCTTACTTTTTTTGTAGAAGACTAGGATATGTTCAGACAAATTAATAAATATATAAAGTTCATTTCTGTGTTTTAAAACACCTAAATTAATTCTATACCAAAATGGTCCATTAAAAGCAGAAAAAAGTGTACAATTTATTTAATTTTCATGTCTGGCCTAATCTAATATAATATTATTGTGACACTGAACCCAAGTCATAATAAAGAGTCTGACTCCTGAGAACAGCCAAAGGAACTTGATCATGAGTTTTTAAAATACATCAACCAAATTATGCAGTGTCATTTAGAGGAGGATCACAACAGATTGATACAAGTTCATGAATATGCACTTTCTGTTGTCACTACAACAAACTCCATGCACCAGACTTTCTTGAGAAGCTAATAGTCACTCAGCTGTTTAAAAATTACGTACTTTCATTGCAGTAAAATTTCTAGTCAGATTAAAATAAAATGATAATCATGCAAATACTTTGGTTTCCTGAGGAAACTGATAAATCAATGCAACTTGACATGATATTTGTATTGAGACATATCTACTGGCAACACTAACAGCAATAAAACATACAACTGTAATCCTTTGGAATCCTGAAATGCACAATGTCAATGACAAGTACTTTTAATACTTGCATTTAGGTAACAGCAAGCAGTCTGGCAGAGCTAGCAGGTTTGAAAGTGGGGGACATGTTACTACAGGCCAATGGACAACCGCTTTCATTCATGACACACCACGAGTATTCAAAATTTCTTGCGGAAGCGGGTAATTTTATCGAACTTGTCATTGTAAGGTAAGACCTGAGCACTGGAACTCTATTAACTTTTGATTTGTTTTAATTGTTTTTAAAAAAATGTGACACAACAAGTTAAACAATCTGAGGTTTCATCACTTTCTGTTTAATTAATTTTCTTCTGTATTAATTTTCCAGAGGTAGTCTGGTTTTGCCACCAACTTTAGCTGCTGTGAGTATTGATTTCTTTGACACTCAACATCCAACACAACTGTCAGGCTTATAATAGTACCCATAAAAAATGAAACATCACACATCTGATCAAGACTATCTTAGGGAAATTGGTTGTGAGAAGCTGAAGAACATGTAAATTAGTGGTCTCTTGTAATAACAGTTTTGAACCCTTTGGTTTTGCTACTACAGTGTTAGTAGTTAGTTACTAATCCACCTAAACCATTGTTTCACATTAGAGACAATAATTTTTTCTGGTTTTTGTAAATAGTAAAGGCTAATAAAATATTTTATCAAAAATTTAAATAACACACAAAGCATCAGGCATTCTAGGTAATATAAACAAACTGTATGACTCTTTCACAAAATATTTCAAAACACATTCTATCCATTCATTTTTGGTCCTGTTCCAAACAATTGGAATGTCTTTTATATATAAAATCTTCTCTGAAGCATGTGTTATGGGTAAAATTGTGTGCAGTGCAGCATACAATATTGCTGTTGTACACAAAATGATCTGCACAAGTGAGCAGACTTTTAATGCTCTTTATATAATATATTCTTAAACACAATTACCAGTACCTAGTGCATCTGTCCAATTACAAAAACCATTTTAATACAAGATTTTCCCTGTGGAAAAACTAATGACAAAATTCAAATACAAACATATGGGTGACTCTTGTACATCAAAGTTGTGTAGGTTTTCAAGGCAATAAGTCTGAAGATGGCTATCTTCTGAGTTATTGCGTTGTGTAGTCTGGTAGAAGTTTACCAACGTTTCAGCAGTCCTTGCTGCCTCCTTCATCAGGACAATGAGACTGATCAGGTGATGAGCCCTGTTAAAGGAGGCAGCAAGCAACTCTGAAATACTGATAAACTTCTACCAGACTACATGTCGCAACAACCCAGAAGACAGCCATCTACTGAAGTCGTGTTTCTGCAAATTGCTGCACATATTCAAAATGTGCAAAACCAGAAAGATAACATGCCTATGGATTTTCTGAGTAATACATCATGGAGTCAAATGGTGGGGCAAGTCAGTGAACTGTGTGCGAAACTCAGCTGACCTGCACAGCAACTTCTACCATGGCCATGGTTAGGATACAGATGCTGCTCACAGTACTGAAATAAAACCAAAGATAGGCAAAAAACACAGAAAACAAAAGTGTGTACAGTGAGTCAGCTGTATATGACATCTATTATATGAGAATTGTACAGCAGTACTGACAAGTTACTTTTGCCACATGTTCTTAAATTTAGGAAGAACATTAACATTATCAGCATATTAAGTAGCACATATAAAAAATTATTTCTACTCATTAATTTGAAAACAGAATCAGCAAATCAGATCAAATTCATAATACTATTTGTTTCAAGTCAATGTTCAACTACAAATTACACTGTCTTAAAAAATAAACATATTTATTACAACTTCAAACAATGAATCATACTATTGTGTACCATTCTTTATTTTTTAAGCTTGAACCTACAGCAACAGAGGGAAGTGAAATTAACAAAGAAGAATCACAAGGCACCTCTAACACCAAACCACTTCCATCTTCAGAACCTAGTCTATTTGAAAGCATTTTTGGTCCACTAGATGAACATGAAGATGTGACGTGTTCTGAAGATGTAATTCATGAATTGAATGATCAGCCAAGCCAACAACTTGAATTAACTATAGATGCCCAAACTCAAAATGAAGAAGCTGCAACACCAGTATTATCTAAGTCAGGTTTGTATAAAAAGCACTGTGATAAAATTATATAAAGACAGTGATTCTCAGCAATTTCTGATTCACAGGCTGATAGATGGCAGTGTGTTTTTCATGTATCAGTACTTTACATGCCTCACATATATTACAAACAACAGTCTACAAATCTGATTATTCCTAACACACCTAAACATGTTTATTTATATACAGCACATCCACTGACTGACTCTATGGTGCATCAGCCCAAAGCCGACCCTTAGCCTCCTCCCATGTGAGAGGTTTCTTTGTCTTTGAAGTGAGCATTTATGAGTAGTGAGGGACAAGCCCACTGCCTCTGCACAATTTCTACTCAATCCTGATTTTTCAGCTACAGACATCCAGAAGTGAATTAGGAGAGACTCAATTCTCAATTTTTAACATTATATAGATGAACTTCATATTAAAATGATTAATATAGGATGCACTCACAAAGTTATTTTCACCTTTTTGCAAGACAATGATCTCAGCAATGTAGTTGCTTCTTTTACATCCACTTTGAAACCGACTATGGCTGTGTAACTTTTGGTCAGTGACTGGTTGGTTCAAAGCAGTTGTACCACTACAGTCACTCAGTGTGTAAACAAACTTACAGAACATAACCCAATAACAAAATATTCTCTTACAGACTTAATCATATACATAACATTAAGAAGTCTTTAACAACATATAAAATAACACTACACTCAAAATATACTTTTAGCAAATTAATGTACCCTTAAGGTAAATCATTACACATATAAATTTCATACTACTCATTATCAATATGACATGACATGATCATTGATCATATTATTAAAGTTATTGAAAAAATATTGACTCAACAGTAATTCTTATTTGGAGCAAGTCTTTCTTTCTTTTTGCATAAACTAAGGAAGAGTGAGTGTAAAACAGGACAACTGTTTGTCGTTATGATAAAATTATAGCTACTGTAAAAACAACTTGTAAATTATGTTTTATAAAACTAGGGGAAAATACCACAAACTTATATAGAGAAATCTACTCCATATATATAACTATACAACATTCATTTTGTCTGCAGATATATGAACAGTAACACAGTCACATGTGATAAAAATCCATAGCACAACTTTCTTCGGAGGGGAAGTAAAGTTGGCAGTCCTATGTCGTCGATTTACGGCATCTAAAAGAACCTTATGAGCATAATGTGAGATGTTTCATAAGCAAAATTCAGTGGCCATTTCTCAGCCAAATCTCTCCTGATTCACTACTGGATGGCTAGGGAACCTCCAAAAGGAGGCCCTATGCTCTGGAAAAGAGCGATAGGAAATAAAGAAGAACGCAGTCACATGCTCGGATTAGAAATCATCTGAAAATACTAGTGCAAAATTTCCTCAAAATAGCTGGGGTAATGCATGATAGGGGAAACTGTTTAGGTATAGCAGACATACATAAGCAAATTTCATAAAATTATTATGTCTGTCAGAATTGCCTTTTACTCAATGCAATATTACTCATGAAAATGTTCCCCCTGTTCATACAAACATTAGTATGATGTGACTCTTGTTATATGCACTTCCACTGTCCACAATTTTGTACATTTGAAGTTTTATTTCAGTACTGAAATGAACAGAAATATCTTATCTGTGGCCATGTTAGTTGCCATGCAGGCCCATTGAGTTGTGTGTGCAATTTCACTGACTCACCCCACCATTTTGACTCCATGGACTACAAATTAAAGCTTCTCATGGTGCATCACTCAGATAATCATGGGAACTTCTACATTTACCATGTTACATGCTTTCATATACAGTGATTCGTAGCAACACAACTCCTACATGAGTCACCTGCACTTTGTTTAAATATCATGCCAATAAATTTTCCTTGCTTTGAGTAGCTGCTGAAGAAAATGATACAGTCGTCATGCCAGAACAAGCAGGAAATGAATCACAGTCACAATCCCTAGAACACGAAGTAAAAGTGCAGACAGAAGAAACAATATCTGAGAAAGTGAAAAAAGAACTAACAGAAGAGGAAATTGTTGACATAATGGTGGGTCCCGCTGAGGTTTTGACAGGAACAACTATTGGGTAAGTTCCATTCTTTCTCTCTCAATGCAAATTAACCCAACAAGAGACTGCATACAGCATAATTGAGGTAGAAATTATTTTTACTTACTCAACAATCACATGTTTTCCAGAACAGATATGCAAACTCTAATGTGTAGCAATGAATGTAGTGTTATAATTCTCCAGTAGATAAAATACTGCCTGTCAGGTGCATGAACATTTTACTACAAAATTACAAAAGATGGGTAGGTAAAGAAGTATTTATTTTCTTACAACTTCCTTTTCTGCAAGGATGAGTTGCATGAAGCTCATTCTGAGATTCACAAGTTAAAGTGGTCTATTTCATTTTTATCTGAGAGGATTTTAGGTTCTCACAGCGATGAGTTTGAAGATGCCTGTCTTCTAGGTTGTAATAACACGTAGTCTGGTAAAAGTTTACCAGTGTTTCAGAGGTCAATGCCTGCATTATCAGAATGATCTTCTTGCAGATGATCACTTCACATAATGACCTAAGAAGTCTTACATATGCAGTTTCATTTATCTTTTGTAATCCTTTCTCACAACCCACATTTCACTACTAATACAGATTTCTTAATTGTGTAATCAGCCACTTAACTTTACTCTAAGAAATCCCAAGTGTGCAGTTTCTATTCCTCTCTCATCTTTCTTTCTCAAAGCTCATGTGTCATTTCTAAAATATGAACAATATGATTTTGCGTTTCAACGGTTTCTCATTATTCAATTTATTGTGTTACCTAAACATGTAATTTTTTCCTATTTTAATTCTTCAACAGTGTTTACCCTATATTCCCACAGCTTTAGTTTTGGTTTCTAAAATCTCATGTAGTTTTTTTATTAATTGTAATTATGTTTCAGCCAATGGCAGCTTATACAAATGAAATATTTTAACTTGTAGCTGGAAAAAGTGAAAGTAAAAGTGGGAGATAAATCTGAGATAAAGAATGTGAATGAATAGTTTATACAGAAAACAAAAGAGAGGTACAGAATCTACATTAGCAATGAACCACCATGCAAGACTGAAACATTCTACAAAATTAAACCTGTTATGTATTTTAAGAATTAAAAATATCGTAGTGAAACACCTTCTCTATTAGTGCTGGTTTACCATTCATCATATTCTAACCTTAGCAGTTGATAAATCATCTTTATATGGCATAAGAACCAATCAGTATGTCTTTTCAGAGTGGATTTTGACAAACTGGAACCAAGGAATGATGTTATTGAAAAGTCACAAGTTTTACAAGTGTTGAAAGAAGAGGAAAGTGAGCTTGAAAAGAAGAAGCTAACTACTTTTTTACAGGTGCCAAACCGGCCAAAGGTAAAACCAAAAGAAAGGCCCAAACAATCCCAAGCACTACCTAAACAGCCAGAGGCACAAACAGAGGAAACACCAAATCAAGAAATAAGTCAAAATGAAGAACAAACAACAGAAAGTGATCAACCAAAAACAGAACAGGAAGTAGAAGACACTCAGTTAACTGAGAAGGAACAACTAGAAGGAACTGAGCTACCAAAGGAAAAAGAAGAGGAAAACGAAATTAATAATGATACTGTAGAACAACCGCAAGCCGAAGAACCTGATGAAATAAACGACAATAAACTGCTGGATATTCAAAGCCAATTGACTGCATTACTGCAGTTGCCAGCAGTAATGCAGCAACAGCTTTCAATCATTCAGCAGCAGATAACAAACATTATGCAACAGAAACTGGCTGAAGTAAACCCTGAACCAGCAGAGGAAGAAACAGAAGCTGGGAAAGAAGGTATGTAACATACATGAGGAATCATCACATAACTTTTATAAATGGTGTAACAAATGTGGACATGAGTCATGTAACCTATGCAATGCAATTTCTACAGACAGCACACATGCCAAACATGATGTACCTTGTGACACTGTAAATGAAATGTCTACAAATCATTCACAAAACACACATGATAGCAATTGATCATAAAACAAAGATTCTGTTGTCCAGATTATGTGCTGCCAGAAATGAGCAGCCGTATGATACAATAACGGTTGAGACAGGATTTCAAAAGAGAAAAAACATATATAAACTAAACGTAATAAGTCTTGAAAACACTGGGTGCCACAACAAAATTCATTGGTGGCTATCAGGCACTCAGGATTTGTTGAACCCTGGGTTAATCATACATATCCTTCTTCAAATAACTAAATAAAATCTCTCACTAAACTCTCTGCAATGGATCATTTTCATTTTCCAGTACTTTCAAACAAACACAAACATTGCTACCAAGAAATTACACAATATATCAATATGCTGAATCAGTACAGACATCGTTCTTTCTCTTGGTATCATGTTTATAAATTTATTGACATTCCTAATTTTACACTCATATGTGTGTGTAGCAGTTCTGTGAACTGGACACTGGTAAAATTAATATTGTAACATTAAACTGACAAAATATGCAGTAAAATATTGCATATTTTACATTTACAAGCTTAATTATGAAAGTGACGTGTTAACATCCAGGTTTGTTAAAAATCCATGTAAATTATAAAACTCGCTCACCAGAATTTAATATTATATCTTGATTGGTACGGTGACTGAGATAATATGAGACACCTCAACTTTATCGCATAATTCAACTGTATGCAATATAATTATAACAGTAAAATAACATTTCAGAAGGTGCTGCAGAAACGGATAAAAAATCAGAAAATAAAGATGAACAACAAGAATTACAAGACAGTGGTGAAGAATTACAAGATGGTGGTGAAGAAAAAGAAATTGCCGAAGAAGGACAGAAAGTAGCAGACACAAATCAGAACGTAGATGTTGACCAAGACATTGAAGGAGAAACTGACAAGTTAGCTAGCATGACAGAAAACCCAGACACACAGCCACAAAATGAAACTAATGAAGAAACTTCAAAAGAGGAACATAAACGTGATATTAAGGTGAGAGGCATTATCAACTGTATAATTAATTAGTTTTAAAATAATCTGTAAAAATGAACTGCTTTAAATTTTGTGAAAAATTCCTGACCTTCTCAAAATGTATCTCACTTTCACAGCAACAGCTTACTGACTGAACTGGGACTGGGTTATAAGAATGCCATTACTAAAAGCTAGACTAATTAAAGTTTCTGTCTAATTGATTCCTTGATGTGTAAACAATAGTGAACATGCAATGTACACGAGTTACATCTGTGATACTCTTACATATGTTCTAAAATCCTTTCCAGATTTTATTCTTACATACAAATCAGAAATGAATTATACTTTTACACTTGGGCAATAAAGACAAATATTACAAAATAAATTAAAACTTGTAGAAAAGGCTCCATAATGCACTTCTGGCAAAATCTGTCAGAAACAGGAGACCTGAATATGTTACTAGTCATAAATTTCCTTTCATAGTGTACTTAATATATTTATTCCAAATTAGAAAAATAAATTAGTATTAGGGACCTCTTCTGTTAGGTTCTGTTACAAATCTATTTCTACAAAGCTATTCAAACTACATAAAGTCAAAAAAATTTGTTTTTGTTTAACCACACTGAAAAATGTTCCTAATAAAACCTACAGAATATAATCAGATGTATATATTCTGTTCCATTTTTCATTACACTTTGTACAATAATATGTATAACTACCCTTCAAAATTAACCCCAACTCCCTGAACTATCAAAATTCCACAACTCAACTTCTCATTAACTCTTTAAAGGACAAGACATGTATTCTGTCTCTCATTCAAGCATGCCAATTAATTCAGATACAGACAATTTAGTAAAGTGACAAAACCTCTGTGCAAATAATTCCAAACAGCACAAAATTGCAAAACTTCAACTATGAAATCAAAACTGAAAACTAGATTAGCAAAGTATTTTTAGGGACAAAACTCATCTTAATAATGTTTAAAGATTTGGTTCTCACCTTCAAGAAAACATAACATTATCACTACAAATGTATTCTAATGACTTTCAGGAAAAATATTGCTCTTTAGCTTGAAAACCATATGAAACTCAGACTCTGTGACCAACATGTAAAGATAGAAATGTAAAAGCAGATGGATCTATAAAGCATTAAAATATAGGAAAAAGTGTTAACCTCTCAACAAAACATAAATATGAATCAAAAAGTTTCACTTGAAGATTACGTTCCTCTGGGTCGTTGAGCCATGTAGTCTGGCAGAAGTTACTGATGTTTCAGAGGTCCTTGCTGCCTCCATCATAAGGGTGATAATGATGAAGGCAGCAAGCGCCTCTGAAAATTCTACCAGACTACAAGGCGCAACAGTCCAGAAGACAGCCATTTTCATACTTCCCACCAAGAATGTGAAATCTCACCCATATGTTTCACCTATGTATTTTATACATAGTACACAATATGTATATATTCTCCTACATCTTAAAGATGGCCTATCTGCATCATACAGAGGCAAATCACAATCATATTTTCAGATAGCTAAGGATTTTAATAAATCTGAGTCTCTATGCCTTAAATAATTTTCACAAATACTCAAAGCTGGAAATCTGAATCCCAAAAATAAGCACAGGTCTATTCCCCTCTATTTAAGTGAGTGTTATGGATATTTTTATTTTAAGTGGCAGAGGGAGAGGCCTAAGAAGAATAAGCCCTTATTCCCACTTACGCCACATCCTAGGCCAATTGTGCTACCAGGGAGAATAAAATTTCAGATGAATCCCGAAGAGGCTTATGACGACGATTTCATTGCAGAAACACTGAGTGGAAATGCTGAAGTAATTAAAGGTACAGCATTAGGGTAAGTAAACTGTGTACATTATTCATTCTGTGAAGCAATTCGGCACTTACAATCATTAAAACATCCTGTGAGATGTATTACTAGAATTTCTGCCCATCCTGCAGTTGACAGGTTAGTCACAAAATTCTGTTATACCAGCAAACTACAATGACTTTTCAAAACAGATTGTAAAATGAACAGCTGTATGGATGTGAATCTCATATCTGTACAAAAAAATATTTTGATAAAATGATCATTCCCCTGATGATGGAGGCAGAGATGGTCTCCGAAACAGTGGATTTCTGTCCAGAATTGATATTGCTTGTTGCCTCAGATAAGTGATTTTATCAAGTTTAGCCACAGCAAAAGCTTCAAACTCAGAAATCATAATTTTATGATTATTACTCATACCAGTTTTCTTTAGCTCTGATTCTGAATTTCGTTGTCACTTTTTTGAAGCACATGAAAAAACTGTCTATAATGTGACCTGTAAAGAACCACTAATAGTAATAAATAGGATACAGTACAAGTTCCACATCTGTTGCTTCTTGCAACTTCATGAAATGTCTTATTGCTACTGTATAATTCTATTCCAGGGTAAATTTCCAAAAATATCACCGGAGCTATGACCACTTGAAATCATCAAGTGTGTATCGTATGATTCATGAAACAGATAAGAGACATCCTGGTGCTTTTGAAGGTCGACCATACAAGATACCAGCCTTGGAGGACTATAAACAACTATTACAGGCATGTACCTGCCAAGTGAAAGAATTATGAGATATACAATTATTATACAAGTCCAGTAATGATAATAAAAATGGTAAATCTTTCTGAATTGTCTTTTCAGAATGGTGAAAACTAAATGGTGAACAAAAGAAGAATATGTATTAATAATAGGTAGGTATCAATGGCAGAATCATTTTTAATTTCCTCATGTACATGGTATAGAGAAAGATCCTTAAAAATGAAAAATCATGGGACTTAAACAAAAATTTGTGTACCCTCAGGTTAAAATGGAAAGAGAGTGAATTTATGAATTGTTGGTGTCTTTGAGGGCACATCTAACACAAAAATCTTACAAATATCAATCTAACCTTAAATATGTGACTATCCTACATGAAGAACAAAGCATAAAACTAAAATAGCATCAAAATTGCTACAATGATTATCATCAAACTTTAATCATTTATAGACAAAATGATCTCATGCTATATCTTACAGATAAATAAATAAAAAATTACACGGCACTCTTAAAATGCCTTTACTTGATATGCATGCTGACTCATGAAAGTCTAAGCACTGTGTTTATATTTGAAATTGCACATTTTGCTGGCCTTGTCATTGGAACATACATACAAGTTTTTGGGCCACAGCACATACTTTATCAGGGTGTAAAGCATGCATCTGTGAATTTATTCACCACTATTCATACACCATCCTCAACCTCAAGTAGTGGTAAATTTAAGAAACTTGGTCTTGGGAAGACAAAATCCTGATTATACAAAAAAAAAAAAAAAAAAAAAAATACAAGGTCAAGTCAGCAATGTTACACTTAACTGCATGATTTAAATCTTAAGTGACCTCACTATTGCCAGGAACAACGTAACTGCTATTATAATGTGTGATAATTACAAGTAATAAAGATATTTGCCTCTGTACTAGATTTGTGAGAAATTGGATCTGGGGAAAGTAATTAATGGCACAATAAACCAGTTTTCTGGAGTCACATTAAATATTACAGACATATCCAGAGGTACAACCGTTTTGGTAGTCCACAATAAATGTGACTTTGAAGCTCTATGAACTTTAAATTTATTGCTTATATTCAGTCTGTTTTACAGTACTACCCAATTTAATATTTGATAGTTCTGCAATACTTTAGACACGTGTAAGAGGTCATAGATAAATTTGACACTGAAGATGGCTGTCCTCTGGGTTGTTGCAACATGTAGACTAGTAGAAGTTTACCAACATTTCAGAGGTCCTTGCCACTTCCATCATCAGGGTGATTCTACCAGACTACATAGTCCAACAACCCAGAAGACAGCCATCTCCAGACTCACCACCATAAAAAACTCAAATTGTACAAAGTTGGTACTAATGTTTAACTGATACAATTTTGAAAATGTATGATGGCAAGTCTGAGGCATTCAGTTCCATTACATACTGGATTAAACCAGTTTAGTTTCTGAATGATCAGACTATAAATTATAAATTGTTAAAGAAAAGACAGTTAAGTCACTAAATATCACTTTTCAGGAAAGGTCAAAACAAACCTATGCAGTGATGTACTAAACTAAGTATTTCATTATGTCACTAAATGAAAAGTTTTGTGATCCAGTAATATAACTGTCTTTACTTCATACCTTAAATATGGAGAATTTCATGATGTACTTATCTTAGACTTTAAAAATAAAGTGTGGCTTACATGGAGGACATCCCACTGTGAAGTGGGCATATCCTCTGTGTAGAGATCTCAATTAAATAAACATGAAGGACAAAACATAAAATTGTGATAAACTTGAATATTTCTCTGATGCTTAAAATGTACCAAAATTAATTATTCTCTCAAGAATTCCCTTCATTTAATACATACAATGAATGTGTACTTCTCAAATGTATTTTCTGATAATTATGGATTGTGCCACTACCTTATTAAAACTGAAACAAATTACAACTTTGGTAGAATGCTAGGATAGTTCAGAAGGGAAAAGGCAGTGCCAATGTTGTAGATGAAATATTTTGTAGTATCTTCTAATACCATGTACACTAGACCTTACTTTAGAAATCTACATTAATTTCAAAAATAATCCACATACTGTTACTGGTTAATTTTAATGTTACTGGTTTATAGAAATGTAAGTCAAAATACAAAAAGTGTACAAAACCAAATTGTGCTTTACTTGGAAACCTATTATCAGTGGTGGCATATGGGATGGTTACATGTGTAAATATCTGCACATTTCAATACAATGATGGTAACATATTACTTGATAATAATAGATCTTCATTAATGTTTTCCAGTTTATGAGGGCACATTCAGCCTAACATATGTTAGCCAAACATGACATCACAAATTTTTCATTTCCTGTTTCTAAAATATTTCCCTTAGAGAGCACTACAAAGCCATATTTTATGTTCATAGAGTATAGTACTTGCTTCTGTCTTTCAGAAACCACCTCTATTTGTTACAATAGCAAACACAATGGAAACAGAAATATATAAGTATATACTTGAGTTTAGAAAGGTTTATGTCAGGTACCCATTCTTACTTCCTTATAGCAAATCACTCAAGACTGCACTCAAATAGAAGAGGGCTGGTAGTTAAAGTGTAATCATCCTATTTTGTACTAGTGCAACCATACTATATCCCCACTCAAATTTTAAGAACTCCTGGAATAGGCTGTACAGCAATATAACGAGATGTCAACAGTACATTCTGATATCGTTTGTAGGTTATTTAAGTGAGCTTCTGCTTCAGAGGATCCTTAAAATATCCAATGAGAGGTGAGGTGTAATAAAAACTAAACTGACGGGTTACTGTATAAATTACTTTTTATTGCATTACGCGATACTGAAATTGACTTACGGAAGTGGTTAGTATGGTACATTTCAATTATCTAGAAACACTAGACTTGAACATCTTCCCTCTTCAGCAAATTGCCAACCTTAGCATTCTCTCGCTTTCGAATACATTGCTGACCACATACAACCTTCCTCTTCTGACATTTCTTTTTGTATGTACCGTGCGCAGGGCAGGTATGTAACCTTTGCTTCCCTAGCATATTCTTATAACGCAGCACTTGTCACATAGTAGAGAAAAGTTATGGACAAAAATGTTTTTATGAGTATGTATCGGTAATCAAGAGCCATTATTTCGTCCCCACACATTGCAGATGACAGTGACGTTATACCTATATCTTTAAAATTACGGAATCCAGAGAAATTTCTTTATTGGCTGGAAGTTTCAGGAGCATACGTTGGTGACATTGCTTTCATCTCGGTCATCTTTTGCAGAGACGGTAAGTCTGATGTAGGTATTTGGAGTTTTTATTCGGCAGAAGTTTAGTATTTGCTTCTGCGTTTGATATTTTATTTATTTGGAGTAACAGGGATGTATCTTTCTTACTAATTGTTTTAACATATAACGTATACTTTTGGACGATATGAAGGGAATTAATTATGTTGTTAATGATATTATACCTAAGATGAAGTTCCTATTTATATAAAATTAACGTTTCTTTAGGTACAGAAATGGCAGCGATTGCACGAACAGTAGGACCAGCATTGCATTTCCTGACCAGGAAGCAAGTCTCTACATCTCTCTTTGCCCGGGGATATGCTGACATGCCTTTTACTCTTGCTGCTGGTAATCAGGTGTGCATTGTTAACAGAGAATTTCAAGTTACCATGAACATAAACGTTGCTTCAGTTTTTATGGCGTGTATTAATTACGTATAATTGTGTCATTTATTGTAGCTAAATTAGGAAGTGGTGGCACATTCACATTCATGCATTACATGGCAACCTGATGTATTTAGCAAGTTGAAATAGCTTGTAGGCTAAAATTGGAATCAAACATGGCAGCACCTGGCTGATTAATAAAGGACAATGCTGTGAATTTCTTAATTTTTAACTTCTTTTTATATTGTGGTGTTAAAGTCGAGTACTGCCAAGAATGTCATTAATCAGATGGTTCAGAAGCCAGTCAATGGAAATCAATTCTGTTTATGGAGTGTGGTTTACACCAATACAAATTAGGTTATTAAGCCTCATTGTATGGTTACCAGACATTCTTTCCCCAACATTAAAGTGGCTGGAGCATGAAGCTGACTGGTCACATACATCTAGTGTTGATGTTAAGAAAACTGGAGCGATGTCTCCATTACCCCACGTCTTCATGATACTTAAGCACCAGGGACATTACCTTTTATCTGTAGTCATTCCGTGCACTTTTTAGATCCTTGCCAACTATTATGCAGTCTTCATGGTCTCCTTCAGTTAGGTTTCCAGATCATCTTCCTCCTCTTCTCTGTTCATATGAAATTTTCATATAGCAATTTTATTTAAATGAAAATTGCTGTCTTCTGGGTTCTAGCACTGTTTCAGAGGTCCTTGCTGCGTCCATCATCAGATCACCCTGATGTTGGATGCAGCGAGGACCTCTGAAACATTGGTAATCTTCTACCAGACTACATGGCCCAACAACCCAGAAGACAGACATCTTCATACTTAGCTCCTTGAGAACCTCAAATCCTAAATACTCACAATTTTGCTTTCAAGAAAATAAATTACTAAGCATGAACTTTGAATTGAGTTCCATTCATAATGTAATTTTATTTAAAATTTCTATACTAAAATTGAAATTGTTACAGGTATTCTATGACAATGCAGATGTTAAACAAGTTGATGTACCGTCTTTCAGCGGTACCTTCGGCATCTTACCAAAACACGTACCCACTCTTGCAGTTCTGAAGCCTGGAATTGTGACTGTCTTTGAAAATGATGGCAAAACCAACAAGATCTTTGTATCAAGTGGAACTGTCAGCATTAATGATGACTCTTCGGTACAAGTGCTTGCAGAGGAAGCATGCCTAGTACAACAGTTGGATGCTGCAGCTGCACGAGAAGTTCTGAGTAAGGCACAGAGTGATCTGGCATCTGCATCAACTGATGTAGCAAAGGCAGAGGCTGCAATTTCTGTTGAAGTGGGAGAAGCCCTTGTTAAAGCTGCCGAATAAAAGTAGTTACTAGAAAAATTATCAAGATAAACTGCCACAGATTAAAAGCAAAAAATTCATCAAACTATTGTGTATATATATTTAGTTGTATTTTGTTTTCAATAAATTCGTAATAGCATCCACTGTTTTCAGTAAAAAGACACATTTCCTTTATCTTCCCTTAAGTGGTCATTAAATTAGGGTTTTGTTTTTTAGCAAAGTAATTTTTCAGCAATACTACATAGACTTCTGAACAAATGTGGGTTTACCAAGAAGTACAATGTATTGAAATAATTTTCCTACTTGTCAGCCATGTATTTTCATTTTACATGGATGAATATGCTTTTTAACTGATTCAGACACTCCCTCTTAAGTCCTGGGATTTATATTCTGTTGGTTGCCACAACATAAATGTTGCATTTTAAATATAATATATTTTACTTACCTTAAAAATATGCAGGGTAAATTTGTATTCATTTAACAATTCTAGTAGCTTGTGTTTCTCTAGATTTGTTGTTAAGTCTCAGAACTGAAAATTAGGAGACTGAGAATAAAATCCCTTGTCATCATAAAAAATTGGCATAGCAAACAATCTTAAAAAAATAACTGCTGATTTCAAGTTTATGCACAATGTCTTGCAGCAATAATACTACAAAGAAAAGTTTTATTTCTTCCTTGTCTGTGACTCATTTTCATTGCATTCAGCAATGTTTTTCATTAATTATTTGTTACAGTAGACATCTATTTGTTGCGCAATGAATTCATACATCTCATCAAGAAAGTTTTTATGTATTTCTTTCTATTCCCTCTTCATACTTTGGTGGAAATCTGTTTGTTTAGTGTCCATTTCTAATACACTATGCATTATCATAAAAAAATACATTGTCACACACTGAATTACTTTGTAAATCACATGCACCACCTGTGGCAGTTGTTCCACTTGCTCCTGCAATATTTCCTAAAAATACAGTTTCTTCATCACTTTCTGAACTATTTTTTGCTAAAATCATTCCTATCTTACACAGTTCAATCAAATAGTGTCACTTGGTAAATTCAAGCTTCTTTTGGCCAAATTCACAGGGAATAAATACAACAATAACCAAGCATATTTTGACAATAACTGGACAAGTTTACTAAGAAATATTTCCTGATGAATCTAAAATTTATTCTGTTGCATGCAGAAAACTTGCAAAATGCATGGAATTTAGCATTAGTATCATGCTAGAAAAAGGATTTGAGTTTATCATGCCAGTGAGTATGAAAAATCACAATGGCAGAAGCTGCTGAAACCATGTCACGACATGTCTCTATCAGTGTGCGACATGTTACCAACTATGGACTGGAATTCCAAGTGATGGCATTCATATGAAGGGTGATAAGGCTGACTATAATAATTATCAAGGAATCTTCCTCTTATCATCTGCCTACAAAATTTTCCATATAAATTCAGTGTACCTAAGAAGCTAGTCAGGCTAATTAGAATGTGCTTAAGTGAAACCTCTAGCAAAATTCATGTAGGTAAACATATGTCCAATACATTTCCTATTCAGAATGGCCTGAAACAAGCATGCTCAGTCACCGCTAAGCCATCAGGAAAGCCCAAAAAAATCAGGGCAGTTTGAAACTGAATGGGACAAACCAGCTATTTGTCTATGCTGATATTAATATGTTGGGAAATAACAGAAATACCATAAAAGCGAAAACAGAAAAACACTTAAGGGCTAGTAGGGATGTTGGTCTAGAAATGAATCCAGAAAAGACAAAATATATGATCATGTCTTGGCACCAGAATTCATGACATAACCAGAATATAAGGACAGCTAATGAACCATTTGAAAATGTGACAAAATTTAAGAACTTGGGGATAACACTAACAATTCATTACAAAATCAAGAGCAGATCATATATATATATATATATACATACAGTGGTGTAATTTTGCCAGTTGTGATGTATTGATGCGAAACGTGGTCTTTCACTTGTAGGGAGGAACATGTTGAGGGTCTTTGGGAACAGAGTGTTGAGAAATACATATGGACCTAAAAGGGAGGGAGATGGATCATGGAGAAAATTGCTTAATGATGAGCTCACCTGATATTTTTGAGGTGATTAAATTGAGGTGGGTGGGACATACAGTTCCCTTGGAGGGGTGTTTACAAGGTATTGGTTGGATGGCCTCAATGGAGGAGACCGTTGGGAAGAGTTGGGCATATGTGGGAGGATAACATTAGGATGGACCTTAGGGAGACATTGATAGAGCAAACTGGATGCAGCTAGCTCAGGACAGAGTCTGGTGGCGGGCTTTTGTGAACATGGTGATGAACATTCAGGTTCCATAAAGAAAGTGGGCTATTCTCTGACAAGCCGAGTATACAGACGACTTTTCAAAGAATTTCCCGCACCATAGAGTGAGTGAGTGGCATATGCTGTGTTCCTCACCTACCAGATCTCTTACTTGACAAATGTAGCAATGTCAAGAATCAAGGCTCCATCACATTTGTTTTTTGGCAGCTGCAGAACAATCATCCTAAGTAACAGCAATTTTTAATTTCATACTCTAAAACAGTGTTAAACTGTTACGTCTAGCCGAGTGTTTTAATTTCTTGCTTAATGCCTTGACAAACACTTAGTACCACAACAGTACAGCACATTTACTATAAATAACATATGGTGAGAGTGTAAGGTGAAACCAAAGTAATAGCATATGAAGATATAAGGTAAAGCATAGAAAAGAAAAGACCTGATGTGAAAATATACAGACATGTTTCTGAGTGGAAAAATGAGGCACATGAAGGTGACTTGCACTAGTAGCCTGCTAGCCTGAATTCAAATGGAAGGCTTTAATTTTACAAGTTCTGTGCACTGGACCACCAAATTTTATATTCAAATTCACTGTACCCCTTTCTTTGACAACTGATGACTACTGTATGCATCCTCAATAATTCCAAGTCCTACTCTTGTTTTGACATCTTTCCATGTTTGTTTTGCTATTACTGATGCTTTTTCTGATCCTTTCTGTAAAACTTGTTCTATATATTGTGGTTCTGACATATATTCTTGAACTCTCTGTCGAAGAGGTGCCAGTTTTTCTTGAATAACTTCAGCCACGACAAGCTTGTATCTGTAAATAGAAACAGACTATGTACTTTTATGTAACTCATTCTTTGGTAAGAGAATATTTTACAAGGTTTTAAGATTATAAGATATTCATTCATTACTATGCACACCAGAAAGAGTACAGTATTTCTGTATTTATGAGAATCTTAATGTACCATCCTTTACCCACACATATTGTGCCCACTCTTTCTGTGACTCTTTGGTTGATATGGACAGTGTTCCATAATTATTCAACCAAAAAAAAAAAATGTACTGCAGAAAAATGACTATACATGCAGATGGGGAAAAACAAAAAAACACAAAAAGACAATCAAAGGATGGTGAGGTTTTGTTACTTCTGTACATTTTCACCATTGCAGAGATGGCAGAGGTCATAGTGGCCAACAATCTTGTGTTTATAAGTATGTCTGCGGTAATTCGGGAAAATGCAGTCAAAATGAGTTCATACAGTGAGTAGAGCCACTGGCTGTAAACAGTGTCTTTAACATGACCTCCAGAGAGAAAAATCAATTCATTTTAGGGGGATAATTATGGGACATTCTATACTTGTGATGATTTTCATATTTGGAAACTGTCTCCTGTATCTGAAACCTAAGGATGTGCCATGCAATGGTAACAAAGGATCCACTTTAAGAGAGAAGAACTGAAAGTTGAAGAAAAATGGAATAACAAGGAGCTTCAAAATTTTACTCTCCACCAAATATAAATATGGTAATCAAATTAAGGAGATGGATAGGGTATAAAGCATGCATGGGGAAGGCAAGAAATACATATAAAATTTTACTTGTAGGGAGAAGACAACTTGGGAGATATCCTTACACAGACAGGAGAATATGAAAATATATCTTAAAAATACATTGTGAAGGAATCTTTGAAGATGTGGACTGCATTCATCTGGCATAAGATAATGCCAAGTGGTGGGCAGTTTAAACACAGTAATGAGGATTCCATAAGAGGCATGGAACTTCCTGATTAGGTGATCGATTCATCAGCTTCATGAAGTTTACATCAACCCATGAAGATGGGCCCTTCTAGAATACAAGAAATCAGTGAGTGTTGCTATTATGTATAACTGAATAAGTATCACAAGAATTTTACCTGCCAGTATCCAGGCATACATTCTGTTCACAGATCTCTGCTGGCTGCAGGCCAGTAAACAGAGAATGGATTGTTATTAGGTTGGAAACACCAGGACGATTCTCTGGATCAAATGTAACTTCAGAAGTGAAATCTGTCAAAGCTTTCTTACACTTTTCTAGTATGTCTTCGGGTGTGTCTGTAACTTCTACGCGACTTCTGGGATCTTGATCAGATTTTGACATTTTTTTAGATGGATCACGCAAACTCTTCAATCTACTAATGGAAGAATCTAAAATCAAACACAAAATTAGCAAATTAATTACAACTGCCTGTGTAATGAGTTGGGGTAGCTCGGCAAGCATAGTGACTGACTATGGACTGGATGACCACAGTTTGATCTTTGGCAGCGGTAACAGACTTTCTTCTAGGTTCTGTGTCCAGACTCGATCTGAGTCCACCCAGTCTCCTATCAATTGGGTAAGAAGGGTCTTTTCCCTAGGAGTAAAGTGTGGCCGAGGTGTGATGCTGACCACCCATCCCCCCTTCCTCCAGTGCCAAGGGGAAGAACAAGTAGAAGCTCTTTTACTCCCCCCTGGTAACTCTGTGGCTTGTAACAGAGAAAACTTTGCTTTGCTTCTGTGATATCAATATTAAAAACTTACAGTCCACAGACCATGAGAAAAGCCCTGCTAGGAATGCGATATACGCACATGCGCAAGATTTCGCGGTGAGTCACGAGTTGCTACTAGCCAACCTAAAAGCATTCGTTCCACAACCACTGAAGGAACAACAGACAATAGGCTTTCATAGATATCCGTCTTCTGGGTTGTTGCGCTGTGTAGTCTGGTCGATGTTAACCAACATTTCAGAGGTCATACTGCCTCCGTCATCAGGGCGATGAAGATTTCTGTCTTCTGGGTTGTTGCGCTGTGTAGTCTGGTCGATGTTAACCAACATTTCAGAGGGAGGCAGTATGACCTCTGAAACGTTGGTTAACATCGACCAGACTACACAGCGCAACAACCCAGAAGACGGATATCTTCATACTCACCGCTGTGAGAACCTCAAGTCTTACACAGGCTTTCATAAGTTCTAATGAGTATAGCTTTAAGATTACCTCACAGTGGCCGAGCGAGCTCTGAGTCAGAAAAGTCAGTTGCTTCTTCAGACTCAGCATGTTCACAAGAAGTCTCTTCATCATTGCCGCTGTCATTTGGATTGGCAATAATTATTGAGTTGATCACGTCAGCAACAACCCCGTCCCATTCCCAGTATTGTTGTTCCAGTTGTTCCTCATGTTGGCAGTATCCTTCCCAATCCTTTGCAGACACAGTTGCCATCCCTTCTGTTGTTAAATCCAGCAGCCGCTTCAAAGACAGATCCCCTGTTACGTTGTTCTCACGAACGTAGTTTTTCACCTTAGACCAGGCTAGTTCTATTGGGATAAGGTCACACATATATTGAGGCAACCTAACTACAATGTGACCATGGGCATTTAGTAACTTATCAATTTCGAAAATTATTAGGTAATACAGTTGGCCTTTTCTCATAGCTGGATCACAGAAAACTTTGTGCCGCTGTAACCACGATATCATTTCAGATTTAACCAAATATTTCGGCAGGGCTTTAGATGCTTGAACACTGTGGTATGGAGCGTTATCAAGTACTACCACTGAACTGGGAGGCAAATTCTGTAACATTTTCTCTCCAACTCACTTTTCAAAATTTGTACTGTTCATCTGACCGTGGTAGTAGCCACTTGCCAAGCCAGCTTTATATAGCAGTCCCGCACCTTGAAGGAAACCAGCACGCGATCCAGTGTGAACCATAATCAGTCTTTTTCCAGCATTTCCATCAGAACATACCCCTTTAACTTCTGCACTTTGCCAGCACTTTTTGAAAGTTAAATTGCTGTCTACCCAGCATTAATCTAGGTAGAATATTTGTCTTCCTTTATTGCGAAGCGACTTAATATTCACTAAATATCTCCCTCACCAGTTTACTATGTCTGGCCTTTCAATCAAGATCTTGAGCTTACTAAGACACTTCTTCCACTTAAACCCTAAGTTATGTAAAATATTCTGTAGAGAATCAACACCCCATGGAAAGTCAATTTTTTGTTTAATTATGGGCAGCTTGGTACTTTCTTCTGTATTGCGTAAAATTCTTGCACAGTCCGCCTTATCACTGACATGTCAAAGGAGTCAATGGTGACATTCCTATCAGTAGGTCTTTGCCGGTGTTTCCCTGGCATGTATAAAGGTGACAGTGTGCCCTTCTCGTCTCTATCTTTTGACTCTCGCCTTACCTTCTTAATTAAAGGCTTAGACACATCCGCGTATCTGGCTGCCCTGTCTGTTGCACGGGTCAAGGGAAATTTTAGCTTTTTCTGATTTGCTTCCTCATCACACAGCTTCACTACGCTGGATATTACTTCCCGCGCTTCCCTGTGAATAGATTTCCCCTGTGTACGTACACTCGATATCTTTAAATCACCTGTGATTGAATATAGAATATTATCACAACATCCACAGAACACAGTACAGACGCACTCAATACACACTAATCTCAACTGCTTGTTGTTTTCAGTCTGTCTGTAGTAGCATAACTCTCTGGCATGTCACACTTCCCACCAATAGCAGCCCTCTAGTCCACCTGGCAGTAAATATTCCCCCTGCACCCCACCAGAAACGACTTCCCCCCACAGGGCTTTTCTCCTGGTCTGTGGACAGTACATACTTCAGCATTAGTAATTTTGTGTATGTATATTAAATTATAGCCTCACAAAATACTTATGAATGTGTTAAAGATTACAAACAGGGAAGACAAATTTCCAGAGCTATGAACTGCATAATGTATGTCCACTCAGTTCATCTGAAACATGTTTGAAGTGGAACCATAAACAATCATAAACTTAACAGTTTGGTTTTATTCTGCTAGGATGAACAATACATCTTTGTGAAAATGGAGAATAGATTACCAACAACAACTGAGCCTGCTAATACTGAAACAATTTCCAGGTAATACATGGAAAATTATTTTGCTCAGCTTATCTCTGGAAACAGAGTCCATCATCTTACAAAGGCAGGTTTGAAAAATAAATTAATTATATAATAAACTTTCAAATTAGTTTTGATTTCAAAATACAGAATTTGAGAAATATACTTGTAGCATGTATGGTTAAATACAGTAATTTTACCTTCAATAACTGCTTTTGGTATGGGGAAGGTGTGTCCATAACGATTATTAAAAATTTTGGCTAAATGCTGCACCAATTGTAAATTGTGCACCTGGTCTTCTCCTACCGGAATATGGGTTGCTCTGAGGAAAGAAGTTACAATTTAAAATAATATGAGAATGATGTTATCCATGACAGTAAAATATAATGGACATACATCTGTCGGTTTATGGTTATACATGAAAATGAATATTTTGCAATTTTTAAGGCCTTAACCCACTTTCAGACACTCATACACATGCACGCACGCACATTGTGATACAGTTTTACCATACAAAATGTGTAAATTCAAAACATTCTTACAATTTAAAAAATAACCTTGTTTTCCTAAACTAACTCAGGTTTAAATTTTGCCCTGCACGTGCCATCTGAAGTTAAGCCATTAAAGTCCAGCTATAACTATACATACCACCTCCTTTTACGATCAGTAACTATGTATTTTTTCCACACAGTGTGTGGGTTTTGTATGACTCTAAGAGTAAATACCAATTATTCCTCCAAACAGCATCAATCACTTAAATCTTTGTAATGGAGACATTCTGTGGTTTATTTCAGGGACAGACTGAATTTTTAAATACAATTCTGATGATATTTGGCATCAAAGGGTTAATACAAAGCAGTTAGAATTTTGTAGCTACAATTATTATCCCTAATTTCTTTCATTCCTAGTAATAATATGAGCTGCTTCTTGCAACATGAAAAGAGTGATCTCTGAAAGATACTCCTTTTGGAAAATTTCCTTGTCATTATTCACATACACCTTTATCTGGAAGTTCTTTTATAAGTAACTGTGATCACAGATGTGACACATTATTTTGAGATTATTACACAATGGAACAGCTATCTCATATCTACACTGGCACACAAGCTATGCTGCTGAAGTTTATGACCAAATTAAAATTATAAAACTTCAGCAAAATTCAAACCTAAAACATATAAAACTTAACTCATCCTATATGAAACATGAAATACTAACCTATAAAGTAATATATCAGCAGCCTGCAGAACAGGGTACACATATAACCCTAAAGGAATTTCCTTCAAAGATGCAGATTTTTCTTTGTATGTTGGTATGTGTGCAAGCCTTGGCATTGTAGTGAGGCATCCAAGTGTCCAGCACAACTGAGTATGTTCAGGTACCTGAAAATGAAAAACTAACATGTAGGACTGTGGTGTTCTGGATTATGAGTCTGTGTAATCTTGTATGTGGTTACCAGTATTTCAGAAAAACCTCTCACTTGAATATGGAGGCAACAGGTTCCTCTACAATACTATACTCAACTATTCAAAATTAGCATGCTTCTCAAGATGACAAAACACTGGGATGTAATACATCTCTTAAAATGCATTTCTTACTCTTGAGTAAAGTGGTCACTGAAATGCCCAATCAAATTAACAATTTAAATAATATGATAATTTTTAATAAAATTCTCCAATATCATATTTAATTAAAACTGGGACACCATTCATGAGTTGATGCATGCAAATGTTAGAAGATGATCACATCTCATGAACATGCCTTACTTGTTCCAACAATAGATTTCACTAAAACACCTCTGCAATGGCAAAAATGTATTAGGGCAGATAAAGCCCAATTATATTTACAAATTTAAAAATTTATATTGGTATACAAACAGGTAATACTCACTCTCGATTGCTGGAAAAGTATACTCTTGTCTGGGTCTATACCACAAGCCAATAATGTTGCTGCCATCTTCAGAATGTCTGAGTGAAGTTGCTTTGGATCCTAAAAGAATATTTCATATCTCAAAATCATTCATACATTAATCAAATATGCCTGATCAGTCATGCTGATACAGAACTAAATAATCTGTATGCCTGAAGGCTAATACATGGGACAAGAGATGATTATGGATGGTGTCATTTGATCTATAGGTCTATTTAGGTGGGAGAAAAGTTAAATGAGTAGACATACCCAAGCCTCAAGACAATTATGAGTCAGGATTACCATTAGTAACAGCCCACTGAGGAGAATTTATCTTTCTTTCGAACTTTGCTATTTAGAATTTATTTTGAATGTATTTTCCATGCTCATGTAGAAAATTTCACATCTTAAATATGCGATGACCTGCAAACTGTAATACAGGTACAATTTGATTCTTCTTTCCTCTTGGTATTTACTATATAAATCCAAGGCTTAATAGTAACAAAGATATAGGGTCAAGTGAGTTAGTGTAAGTGAACAAAGTGTGTGCAACTGATACTAAAAATACATAGAACAGGAAACAGGATTTATGTAAGACTTGAGATTCTCACAGCGGTGAGTATGAAGATTTCCGTCTTCTGGGTTGTTGCGCTGTGTAGTCTGGTTGATGTTAACCAACGTTTCAGAGGTCATACTGCCTCCGTCATCATTGGCGATTGAAACGTTGGTTAACATCGACCAGACTACACAGCGCAACAACCCAGAAGACGGAAATCTTCAACAGAATTTATCATGATATCATATGCCTTCAATACAATTCACTATCTTGATCATACCAAATATCCCACCTCAACAACTTACACAGGCAGTGATTCTCCACCTCCAATCCTACTTGTCACACGCACCCCCAAACCACTCGTAAGCTCCCTGAGTAATGACGATCTCACATCACTGTGAAGTAGCAGCTGGTACTCAACACAACTGAGGGACTGTTATAAAAATGACATTTTCTCTCATATGACACAGAAAGGTCCATTTCATAAAAAAAACCTTTTATGCCATTATTGTTAATGACATAGCTTGATAGGCAGTATATTTATATGCCTATCTGAAGCATTATTTTTTTGATTTATTAGTATATAACTAATAGTCAAAAGTAAAGGACTGTCTACAAGCTTCTTCAACTTCTGAGTCTGTTGCCATAAATTTTTGTTTGAGGTAATGATAAATCCTTGTTAACAAAACAAAGAGCTTCATGTTGGTATGTGAATGGTTATCTGTTCTCAACTGTAACCTTTGATTTTATGCTTCTAAAAGGATTTCACTTTACCAATTGGAGTGGCAGCTTATATCTTTTGTGCATCTTAAGTTTTGTTTTGCCAACTCAAGGTTCTTTAAAACATCATTATGACATGAGATTTTGCTGTGACAAGTACCTTGTTCAATTGTAAAATTCTGCTCTGTTTGATTTTACAACAGTTTAAGAAAATGAATGCATTTCTAGGGTCTAAATATTCAAATACCCTCTAAATACACAGTAAGGTTCCTTTTAAAAGTTAATCATCAAAAGGTTAAGAACTGTAGCCAGAAAGTTAAACTTTGATTGAGGAACAGGTCTCATCAATGGAAAATGCTTTAGTTTTCCCAGCACAATACATTTTATAACATTTATAAACTTCAACGCAAAGAACTCCCCAACAGGTAACAACATACAGTCCAAAAATCATGCAATATCCATTCTCTATGTTTGAATGTTGAAGTTATTACTTACTTGGGGAAGTGTAATTGAATGTAAATCTGCAATACTATAAATCACATCTTCTCCAGCATTCTGCATCTCAACCCACCTTTGAACAGCACCAAAATAATTTCCTAAATGCATCGAACCTGTCGGTTGGATACCAGAAAACACACGCTGAGGCCATTTGTATATCTGTAATTTAAAACAAAGCCCATTATACTTGTTTATAATCAGTTTTCTACTTCTCTCGTAACCTAATGAATACATTAGGATGAAGACACAAAAATGTTGAAAATCGTACTTCACAAGTAAAACATTTATCCATTTAATTTCCGTTTCTATTGCTGATGTTCACTAAATCTTATATACATAATTTTGGATTGTACTAAAATGAATGAGCTTTAGAAAGGCATATATTTATCAACATTCCTAATCTGCTATTTGTACCATGCAATTTATACCTGTAAAACTGTTATGATTTTTTTGGTTAAGGAAGACAAAATACATATATGAATAAAAACTTACCTCAGTATGATTTTTTCTAATCTGACTTACAAAACGGGATGAACAGATATTTAATATTTTTGCACTTGTGCCAATTACATACACTATCTTCATCCTTCTGTTTCTGTGGCTTATTACAGTTTATTCATATTGTTATAACCCGTAACTTTAAGTTGGCAACATCGTTTCCCAGGTTTAAGCAAACTTGTCCAACCTTCCTTTAATGTGTTCGTACTTTGTTTGCCATATTTGTGTCTGCACAATGCCAGCAGTTTTACTGATGGGAAATTCAACAAAGACTTACATTTCTTAACAGTCTTCTTCCCCCTAGAGTCTAAAAGAATCTGAGAACATTTGTATGACCTGAGGTTCTCGGGGCGGTGAGTACGAAGATGGTTGTCTTCTGGGTTATAGCGCCGTGTACAACCCAGAAAAGACACCTTACATGGACATTTGTACAGTAATTGGTTTCAAAATTTTCGTCAGGATTTTACCCATTCTTTCTGATGAATATGAACAGCAGCTTGGTCCGATCTTCCTCCCCAAGTTATGAACACAAGACAAGTATGTTTCAATAAGATTTTATATTTACGATCTTTTAATGATTACGTGAATGAATTTATTTATGAACAGAGTTTGGTGTATTTTATGTGGGCTCAAGTATGTGCAAGACTTACAGCACCAATTTTTGAGCAAGCCACATATAACTGAAAAACATACCTCCACAAAATAAATTATTATTATTATTATTATTACTATTATTCTCCTCCTCCCATCTATTCATGACTTTGTAGGGTATTTACTTCCATGTACCCGAGACAGACCTTGTCCCTAAGGTACATAGTGCAGCAGCTATTTCTGAAATACATTTTGTTTTTAATATGTGCTACATGTATTATATAGTTTTATTGTTAGAGATGACTACATATTTTATGAGTTATTATTATTATTAATCTCTACAGTCCACTGTGAACTTTGGCTTCCTGCACAATTCCTCTCCTGGCCCAATCCTTAATTACAGAGTGCCATTTTTAATTCCCATAATTTTCAAATCACCTATTTCATCTTCCCACCTTTTATGTGGACTGCCTCTCCTTCCATATTAGTTATCATTATATTTTTTGGCATTAATTCCTTCTCCATTCTTACAATGTGTCCATACCATCTCAGTCTGAAAGATTTTCCAACTTTTACAATATCTTCACCTTCTAATATATCCTCTATCTCCTTATTCATTGTTCTTCAGTTTTCTCTTTCCTTTATGGGGCCATAAATTTTCATAATAATTTTTCTTTCAAATATTCCAAGGGCATTCATTTCATCAGCAGTCATTGTCCAAGTTTCTGACCCATATCTCAAGATAGGTCTTATTAGTTTTTTATACATTTTCATTTTTGTTTTTCTTGACATAAGTTTAGATCTAAAAAGTTTAATATGTGCATAATATGCACAGTTTGCTAACATGATTTTATTAAGGATGTCTTCCTTCAGTTTATTATCATTAGTCCACTTCCTATCATAGAATGCCATCGAGTGTTACTGATTATTATAGCGAAACTAGTTACACGGAAAACTAAAAGTTTAAACTCAAATGACAGTTAAACAGCATTCAAGACATTTTAAGAATGAATACAGTTTAATCTTTTGCATACCACGTTAAAATCGTGACTTATATTACGTTCTTCCTTAAATATAGATACAAGTCTTGTCCCATTGCACGTTTGGGGAAAAATTTTCTTGCCAAAACAATTTCAGGTCTTTGCGCCGTTCACCAGTTGTGCTAAAGTTTCCACGTTTCTATTCTACTCCCAGAAACCATCTTCACATTCAAATCCGGTACAGTTTTTCGGTTGTGAACTTTGTTCCTGTAATCTCCTTTTCGAAATACGCTATTATCTTTTTCTTGGAGCCATTCTTTAATCATATTAATCGTGTATACTTTCTGAGCTAGTTCCCACCCTCACTAAAACTTGCGACTAAAAACTGATCAACCAAACCTCAAAGAATCAGATTACAGTTTTGTTGAGAAGTTAATTATTCTGGAATTTTCTTCCATTAATTTTGAAGCAGCTGGTGACTTCCCAGTCTCCATATATACAGCAGCAATGCTACACTTTGCAGTGATAAAATCCTAGAGAAAACAGAATATGAGGAATGTACTTTTTACAAAGACATGACAAATGCATACAAAATTTGGGTTTAAAAGTCTGAATGGAAGACACAATTCCATAAGATTTAGGCATAGATAGGAGGAAAAATAATACATACATGGCAAACACAGCAGCTGATTTGCAGTTTATGAAAAATTACCATTCATACATATAAAATAAAATCGTTTTTCTTCTACATTTATTTTTATTTTTGAGAAACCTGTGCACCATTTAAATTCCAATAACATTCAGGTTAATGAGCAATTAGTTATACACAGAAAAGATTTGGGACTTCTACCCACTACAGATCTAGATAGAAACTTGTGAAATATTACACACATTCAATGAAAAATGTTGCATCAGGCTCTTTGGACGAGCCTTCACACTGACCCACATATTAGGCAACATCTATTCAGTATACATTCTCAATGAGTGAGTGAAAAACAAGTTTCTTTTCTGTGAATTTTTCATTGTCAAAGTAATGTACACAGTGCCATACAATCGTGCAGATCTTCTCTTCCCGACATCCTGTTGTTTATAAAATGAAAACTACTTCATATTAAAATTTACAGCAAGATGAATATTAATTTAGATGAAGGAAGGTGTAACTAAAGGTATCCTGATTGAACTCCCTCTTTCAGTAAACTATCTTCAATGCTTAACATCTAAGTTTATTCAAAGCATGAAAATGTAGGCCCACTGGACCCTGAACCCTTGATAGATTGGCGCAACATTTTTCCCTGAGATGCGTCATAAGGTCAACAATACCAGGAACTGTCATCATCATCTAACAGGTGACCATCTTCAGCATGCAACTACAAAATATAAAAGTGTACCATAATTAACGTTCATGGATTAGGCAGTATGCCATGCATGTCAGATGAAAAACAGCTGTCTCCCCTCCACTTAGGTCAATGTATTTCCATTCACTCATATATTCTACACCAGATACATTCAACTATACCTCCATAACAAGACAACTTGTCATAAAATTTATATTGTTTTGTTTCTAAATTAGTTTACCTTCACAATAAAATATCTATGTCACTTCAACAATTACTCACTATATCACAGAATTTCATACAGAAAACTTAGTGTAAGTACTCTAGTCATTTACCACTAATATGGGTTGATTCAGCCAATCATAGAGTAAATTAAAGATTTGTCTTCTGAGTTGTTGCGCCATGTAGTATGGTAGATGTTTACCAACGTTTCAGAGGTCATACTGCCTCCGTCATCAGGGCGATGAATGTGCCAATTGAGTGGAGAGGGCTAGTCACTGTCCGGTCCCTATAAACCTAGCCGTACAATACTGTAAAAATACAGGCAAACAAAAAGTACATTCATTAAAAAAACACCAGTGCATAGGCAAAATGCTGAGTTACTGTTTCTGAAAGCAGGTGATACATACAACTACCACCAGGCTTTATAATGGGTTAACAAATATATATATATATATATGTAAAATATCAGTTTTTAGGATATATCATAACCTTCTAGCGAAGAATAATAGCAGAATAAATAATTATAAGCTCTGTACATAACGACTAATAATGATATAAAATCACAAGTACTTTCACGAATACACTTTCCCAACTAAAAGATGCTGCACAATCAGCAAACCAGGTCTTTAGCAGAGAAGAATTGTCTCTACATGACTGAACAATGATTCTTACACAACATTCAGCTTCTACTTTATAGCGCTCACGTGTCAAAACGTTTAGATTTATGAACAAGGCTGATAAAAAAGAGTAGATAAAAGCCGATATTATTGATATAACTACTAACTGAATACCAGTGTTATTCAGATATTTAAAAAATAAGGTTTTCTTAATTTTATGATGTTAGATGAAAACAGGCTGCTCCTTGAACCAGAAATGTCAGTACAAGAAAATATTTCTGCACTACAGGGTAGAAGGAAGAAGACAGTGCACTGTCTAGTCAGAGAATCACACAGAGTACCTTAATGGAAGTAGAAAACAGCAGGCTAAATCACATATTCAGGCAGTTTTCTTTGTCAGAAGAGACGTTCCTAGAGAATACAAAACCACCAACTGGTTTCTACCTCTGATGTGTAGGCTGCAGATTCCCCAATGCTGCAAGCAGTTCCTGAGAGCATTGAGTCATTTATACGTGCTGATATTCTGATTACTGAAATGTTAAGGCAGATAATAGCATTGTTCATATATACAAATGTTCATAAATTAGACACTTATAGTTTTTGTAGTTGGCCTGATGAACTGACTAATTCTTTTGTCAACTTTCTCTGCCAATTATGCAGTCCGGAGAGAGTCTTATGAAATTGGTCTTTGAAACTCAAAACTTTGGTGAGGATAGTACATATGTTTCTTGATAGTGATGAGCTTTGTACACTTCCTACAATTCTACATTTTTAACATGTCGCAGTGTCATCAACTCATGCCCATTAGTGCCCATCTTGATTAATTCAAAAACATGATTTTATATGTGATAAAAATCTTCTCGGACTAGCTGTGTCAATACAGAGTCAGGCTACGGCTACATATGGACATGGCTAGTTGCCCGACAAGATTTTATCGCATTTAGTCACCGTGAAAGTTTCAAGTCAAATATGATTTTCTATCTTCAGAATCTGGATGAAAAGTTTGTAACAAAATGCCATGTTTCTTTATTAAATGATTAACTTACTGATTATCTAGTGAATTATTTAATCTTTACCGGTCATGTATCATGGCTTAACGGTTAATTTTAATTAAATGCAGCCTCATTTTTATTATTTGGTTTCTTCCTCGCTTACAAAAATATGTGTCCTGAACCATCTTCACATTTTATGCTGAATGGATAACAGAGAGAGAATGACAGTGTTCATTCATAAACCAGAATGCAGCTGTCACAGGGACTCTTGTAGCACTTGGCAGTGAGTCATGCTGTTCTTACCAGGAGCTGGGAAGTAGCAGTTGCATTCCAATTTATCATTGAACACTGTGTTTGTGTATATACATACTTCACATAGTACAAATATGATTTTGCAAGGAAACATTTCTTTCAAACAAAAACTTCTTAAAATACATATACAAACTAGCGGTATAAATATTTGTATTTATCACATCAAGTATTCACATATTTTATTCCTCGTTCATGTTGATAACTATTTTGCCTCTTAAATGACCAGCTTTTATTCTTTCATATGACTTTGGCAAATCTGAGAATGGGAATACCTTTTCAATAGCTGGGCACATCTGGAAAACAGAAACATAAGAACTTATAAGTAGTCATCAAAACTAACGTGGCTGGTAAATGTGCATGGTCTACTGCACGTCTACTTCGGCATAAAGCAATGTCTCAAAAAAAACTCACTATGAAGATATCTGCAAAACTTATGTCATTGGATGTATTAATCATAGGTTATTAAACGATGCTGTATGCACAGCAGCAGTTACTTAGCACTGAATGATGTGAGGGTATGATTATATTTGATGAATGTGAAAAGACTGGAGAAAAAATGGTCATGGCCTATTTCAAGGTACTATCCTAGCATCAGCTTTTATTTCTGCATCATGTTGTGGATCTATCTGAAAGTTCAGTAGTTACTTTCTTCACACAACAATTATTTATCAATAAATTCATGCACTGAGCATATCATTTATTTCATTCTTATTAATTAACAGAATCCATACGGTCAAAAGCTCGTCAGTTTATTGACTGATCTATCCTGGTTTATCTACTCGTCAGTAAGGAATGTGAAATGTGACTTCTTCCTTGCTCTTTATCCAATGTCCATATATTCTTGTTCTCTGTATAGTAATAAACAAACTAAATAGACTTACCTTGCCTTCTTCCACTAATGTAGTAATTTCTCTGATTGCATCTGATAATGGAAGAAAAAATCCCCATCGAACAGTACTACTTTTACTCATGATACCTGTTTTCACATTTGTGACAAACAAGTCTGCTATATTCTTCATCGTACCAGCTACCACGCCATAATCATCAACATTTCGTAGCAGTGGAGATCTCAATGTTATGAATTTTGAAATGTTTATGTCCTTTAGACAGTCTGCATACTTTGGACCAGCATCTGCTCCCAACCCTGCAGCATCCAAGATAATGTTATACCTACAGAAAAGAAAAAAAATACTTACATCACAAAGATACATCAATACAAAATAAATCCTATCATTCCACAGAAATGCATGCTAGACTAGTCTAACAGGCAAATAAACCTGCCCTTACAGTGATTTTGGCGAAATTACTTGCTTTTGTAAAAACATTGCTTGTGAAATGTTATGTATTTTTATACGACCCATTCTTCAGCGCCCTGAGCATCTGCAGGTCCCAATTTTTCGTTAGCTTTGAACTATTAGACAGTTAGTAGGACTCCTTGGACAAGTGATCAGACCATCACAAGGCCTCTAACTGTACACAGGACAGCATAACACAGAAAGACGTGGACAAACATCCATGCCTCGAGTGGGATTTGAACCCACGGTCCCAGTGACCAGGCGGCACAAGGTCCACACCTCAGACCACGTGGCCACTGTGATGGTGCCCTTACATTCCCTTTACAAATTCAAAACTAATGCCATCTCTTGACTGTCCATTAGAATCATTTGTCACAAAGTGCCATTGACAGAGGCAGAATAGGTCTTTCCACAATCTTTTAATAATGTCAGAATAACTCACTTAATGAATATGGAGCAGTGGTGGAATAATACTGACAGGGAAGACTCAAATCACTTGGATAAAAACCTGGAACGCATTACAATAATTTGTGATATTCAAAATGCACAAATGTGACACTTACTTGCCCTCTTCCCTGATCTGCTTCTCTGCATCAGTGTGTGTATAATCAATAACACAGTCAGCTCCAAATGATTCCAACAGAGGAACTGCATCAGCACGACATGTTGTGACAACCTAATATAAAATAACACAAGGTAGGAAATGCGTGCACAGCATAATAACTTCAATATGTTTGCCAGAATTTCACCCTTGACCTTTGTGAAGGGCACCAGTTACATGAGACCTGTCTGAGGTCAATGACCTTCACACGGTCAAGGTATCAGCCTATGTGATTACATCATCATGGAGGATATCCCCTCTCCTGGTAACCATGGCAATGAAGCTATATTAACCAAGGTAAATGTTGGTTAAAACCGTCTGATCTAAGAAAAAATTCACATCACTTGACACGTCTTTGTAAAGTTCTCCAAAATCAAATTTAATGGAAACGGGTTTGTCTGTTACTGAGCCACATCATTCGTGATGAAGCGATTTTAAAAGATGCTCCACAGGGTTGTGATCACACCTGTACAAACCTAAAACACTTTAATTGAATCAACACTACACTGCAATATACTTGTATTATCAGAAAACAATTTAGCCATGAAATGAAAGTCTAGAGATTATTAAAGGGCAGGTGTTTGATAATAGGGTGTTGAGGAGGATATTTGGGCCTAGGAGAGAAGATGATAGGGTATGGAGAAAATTGCATAATGATGAGCTTAAAAATCTGTACTCCTTCCCCAAGGTGATTAAGTCGAGAAGAATGAGATGGGCGGGGCATGTAGCACGCATGGGTGGGGCAAAAGGTTTGCACTGGTATTGGTTGGGAAGCCTGAGGGA